ACGGGCCTCGCGGGAGGTGGCAGGAGAAGCTCTCCTCTGCCTCACCAGCCAGCGGGGCTGGGGTGATGTGCTGCCAGCATTATGGAGGGTGCTGCCCGTGGAGAGGGTGGCTGAGCATCCCTGGGGTACCCCGGGGTGCGCCCAGACCAGGCTCCTTCAGTGCCACCCAGGTGCCGTGGTGGTGGGAGCTGAGAGGGCATCACTGCCTGGGTGTGATGGTGAGCCGTGGGAAGGCCATGAGTTCAGCTCTCCCTACCTCAGCAGGCCATGGAGCCCACAGCCATGCCTGAGCCAGGTCCATTGCCTTGGTCCTGCAGCCACAGGAGAGACAGAGAAACAGCAGCATCTGTGCAGAGCCAGTGCCAGCTGGTTCTTGGGGACCTGCTGAATGGCCCCCCATCTCCTGGGCGCACCTTGACAGGGAAAATTTTCCCCTGCTAAGCTTCTTTGGGATCTGACCTGGGGCTGAGATTTCAGATCCATCCTCCTTGTCCAGCACGGTCCTTTAAGTACACGGCAGGCTGGATGCCAGTGGTGGTGTTGGGGTGGTGTCCTCCATTCCCTCTTCCCTGCAGGATGCAATACTTCCCCTCACACCTCCCACGGCTACAACCTCTTCTGTGATCTCTGGAAGGATCTGGTGACTCAGACATCACCACTGAGGTCTTGGGTGGCTGGGGCAGCTGGAGAGCCTCCCTCTGAAGGGCTTGAGGCTGGCTGCCGCATACCATGATCAGCTGCGGTTCCTGGAAGCTCCCACCCTCACCAAGCCCACGAGGCCAGTGGTTGTCGCCTGCAGCCACATGGCTCGCTGTTTTGCTGCAATCCTCTGGGCTCTGGCATGGCTGGGGTAGAGCGAGGAATGTAAACCGAACCTCCAAGCAGAACCACACTGGCATGGCTGCTGCAGTCCCGGTGCTGCCCTGGCCCCCTCCTCCCCGTTGCTCACAGTTCCCCATGAGAGCAGGCGAGGGAAGGAGGGGAGAAGGCAGGGAGGGGCAACAGGGCCAGGCAGAGTGATACTGAGTGGGGAAATGACCACGGGGAGATGGGCACAAGGCTCCCAGAGCATTGCGATGTCAAGTCCTGGGGACTTGACAAGCCTGTCCCCTACCTGCAGCCTCAGCGATGGCAGCTCCAGGGACGAGGACCCATGCCTCATCCATCAGCTTGTATGTGGCTGGAGAGCAGCAGAAGAAGGAGGGCTGGGGCTTGACCCAGCGGGTTTCCCAGCCATGGAGGGCACCAAATGAACATGGCCTCTTTACCTGTAAGGAGACGGGCTTGCTAGACGGACTGGGTGGGGTAGAGCTTCTGTCTGGGCTCCAGAAGGGATTTTAAGGAGATTCCACATGGGAAATTATTTGTTAGGCTGGAGAAATGTGTGAGAAAGAGGCTAACGGAAAGGCAGGGCCGAGAGGAGAGTGTCATGCTGGGTGGAGAGTTTGCTGCTGCCATCCCCAGGCACCGGCTGTGCGAGGAGCCAGGGATGCTGAGCAGGGTGGTACCGACAGCTCTTGGCCTGTGCCTGGGTTTGACCTATGAAGGGCTGGAGCTGGCCCAAATTGTCAGGATGGAGAACTGCTATGGGGAGGATTTGGGGATTCTGGAGACCTTCCTGTGCCCATTCTCCATCCTGCATTGCTCACCTGGGGGCTGAAGTCCCCCAAATTTGGGCTGTCCTGCTCTAACAGCGATATGGGTGTGTTGCAGGCGCTGCCTGCCAGTGCTCCCCCGGGGAGGCTGTGCAGAGTACGCACCAGCAGCCCCATTACCTGCCCGCTGAAAAATGTTGTTCAACTTGTGCATGGAAAAAGGCAGGCTGAGAGCAAGCTTGTCCCACACCGAGGGGAAGCTGGGAGAGGCTCCTGCTGGCTTTTAGGCAGCGCCTCGTTAATGTTTTAAATGCACCAGTGTCAAATTAACACACAAAAGAGCGGCGTGACTTTAAATGCAGGTTTCCGAGCTGTGTTTCATTTCCCTTTAATAAGATCATAGCGTTTGCTCAGCGGGTGGCAGCGAACCACCGAGGAGACATGCGTGATGGGGAGCATCGCCCAGAACGGGCGACGGCGGCGGGAAGTGGTTGTTCTCTTACCTCTCATGACTCTGTCGTGCAGGCAGGAAGCTGGCAGAACCCCTGCCTGGGATCTGTGTTTTGGGGTGATCTCCCACAGTGTTTCTCTGTTTTGCTGGAGAAAACCCCCCAAAAGTTCTCATCTGTTCAGCCATAGCAAAGCCAGGGTTGATCAAGCTGCTCTTGTCCAAAGGAGGGAGAGAGAGAGGCTGGCGAACTCCAGCTATTTATTTATTAATGTGTGAAGCCACAGCACAAAATCTGGCTCTCCCTGCTTCCCTTCCTTGTGCTGGGGCTGGTCATTATGCACTGAAGCAAAGGACACTCAAGGCTCCCTGCTTGGTCTGAGAACCACAAATCAAAACATTACTTTGCATTTAAAATAAAAGTTCCCAGGTAGAGGAGGCTCTTCACCCAGCAGCAGTGAAGCCAAGCAGCCCCCGCTCACAGCCCCGCAGAGCCCCTGCCCTGGGACCTGTCCCTGTCCCCGTGCGCCCCATCCCCAGCTAATGACACTTGCAGACGTCCTCGCTCCCCGGCATTTAACAACAACCAGCTGCTGGCCCTGGCAGCGTGCGGTGCGGTGCGGTCGTGGCGTGCTTTAACTAACTAGGGATGCTCGATTTTTCCAGTGTGGTATCGCATTTAGAGCTTCTCGCGGGAGCTGGCAAGGCTCAGGGAGGGAAGGGCATGGGCAGATGGATGGGACTGGACAGGCAGTGTTGCCTGCTCCTGTTATTGCCTGATCCTGCACTCTGTGGGTAAGCAGAAATGACCCATTCCTCAGCAGAAGTATTCCTCAGCCAGCATTATATTTAATATAGTGGGAAACTCTGAGTGGAGAGGGGGAGGAGATGCTGCCTTTCCCATCAGAGCCATAACGCTGATGCCTGAGCAATGCCATGGTGGCTTCTCCCAGGGTGATGTGAGAGCAGGGGTCCCGGCCAAGGCAGGGCTGGGCTTCAGGGCAGCAGTGTGTCCTGGTGGGGATGGGGCTGGAGAGCACCGAGTGAGGATTCACTCATGGTCCAGGTGGGAGCTGGTGTGTCAGGACAAGGCAAGGCACAAGCCGAACCTCCGGCTCCCTACACCCCAGCATGATGCTGGGCTCATTGAGCCCCCCGCGGGGGTAACGCTGCGCAGCCTCAGCTCCACTCTCTCCTTCCTCGCAGGATTTCGGGAGAGCGCCTTCGCCTACGCCATTGCAGCCGCCGGTGTGGTGCATGCCGTCTCCAACGCCTGCGCCCTCGGCAAGCTGCAGGCCTGCGGCTGTGACCAGAAGCGCCGGGGCGATGAGGAGGCTTTTCGGCGCAAGCTGCATCGTCTCCAGCTGGAGGCCATGAACCGCGGCAAAGGCATGGTGCACGGGGTGCACATGGAGCACATGCCGGCCGAGACCCCAGGCCTCCAGGACTCCTGGGAATGGGGAGGGTGCAGCCCCGACGTGGACTATGGGGAGAAGTTTTCCAAGGATTTCCTCGATTCCCGGGAAACCTACAGGGACATCCACTCCCGCATGAGGCTGCACAACAACCGCGTGGGCCGGCAGGGGAGCGGGGCACTGGTGGCGGGGACAGCATTCCCGGGACACGCACGGGAGGGCTGCGAGGGGCTGGTGCTGGCTGCGGTGGGACACGTGTGCGAGGCTGGGATTGCCCCCAAGGCACCCCCTCTCGCCAGTTTTGCCTGTAGCAAAGGCAGTGGCGCGGCCCTGCTGCGAGGCATCTCTGCTGGGGAGGGCACCTCTGAGAATTGCTGCTGTCCCCCTGCCAAGGGACACTTCCCCAGGCCACTGTCACTTGCCTGTGCTGCAGCGGTGCTACAGGGATGTCACAGCAATGAGTCCAGCTCCTGCCTCCCAGGGACTCGCTGAACTGGTGTCCAGCAGCTGCAGCAGGAGGGAAATATGGTTGGGGAGGAGAAAGTCACTGGCATCATGTGAGAAGGCAGATGCTGCAATGCACTGTCCCCCGGCACAGGCTCCGCAGCACCCAGCCACGGTTCTGCCTCCGGAGAGGGAGATGGTGCCTTGAGGAGGCAGATGGGAGCGGGACTGAGCCAGGCAGCGGGCGCCTATGCCAGCTGGGAAGTGCAACATCCGCTTGGGAGTGGAGGTGACAGCCCACAGCCTCGTCCTCCGGCTCCAAGGGGGTGCTCAAGCCTGCCCAGGCGAGCAGGGCAGCCTCCCCTCCATTCTAATGATGTCAGGTCTTGTTAAGGGTGCTAATTAGTAGCTCGCTCTGTCTGGAAGCTGATGTTTAAAGGCAGCCTGACATTGGAGACAAGAAGCACGCAGGCAGGAGGGGCTGGGAGGACGGCTGCATTTCCCTGCTCACCTTTGCTCCCAGCAGGTGCCAGGGAGACCCCATCCCATGGATCCAGTGGGACATTTGTCCCCAAGACCCCAGCCACACGCTCCCATAGCAGTGCAGGGGGATGTGTAGTGGCTGCAGGAATAAGTAATTAAAGAGCAGAATTCCATAGGGAGTGTTTGCCTGGGATGGCTCAGACATTTGGATGTGCCTCTTGCTGTAAGAGGGGAATGCTGCAGAGCAGAACCTTGATTTGTGCCCTTCCTTAGTGCTTGAGCTGAGCTTTACTGCCCTGAAAAGCTGTCCCAGTTTGGCCAAGCTGTAAATGCTTGGGGAAAGCCAGAGCTTTTTGCTTGTTTGGCTTTGCTTGCGCATGGTGAAGGCTTGTTCAGCGTTAGGCAGCTAAATCCTCCGCAGGCTGCTCTGCCCCAAGCCAGGCAAGACTCCCTATCCCAAGTCGGGCTGCAGGGCTCATCCTGGCTCCCCTTCAGCTCTGTGTGCCCCAAACCACTGGAGCTCTTGGCAGTGCTAGAAATTTGGGGTCTGTATTGCCCATTTCCCAAGGGAAGCCCCACAGCCCCCTGCAGAAGGAGGGGAAGGTGAGAGAAGAATGTTTGCACAGGGGGGATGTCACCACATGGTGCCTGTGAGGTCCAGAAACAGCAAAAACGCCTGGGGTGTGCTTGTCACCAAGGGCAGGCAGGCACGGGGCTGGCAATGTCAGCTCTTGGTGGCTTCAGAGACAAGAGCTGGCCTGATGGAAGAGGCCTGGGAGATGGAAGCAGAGGCAGAGGAGGACCAAAGGGATAAAGGAGGGGATGGTACCAGTGCAGGTGGGGAAGCAATGGCTGGACAGGCTGCTCAGCTCAGGGACCTTGAGATGAGGGTGTGAGCCTGTGTGCGGGTTGGGTTGTGATGGTTGTGGGTGCCATGCATTGGAGCAAGGAGATGATGTTGTGCCTGCTCTGTGCCTGGTGGTACCATGCTTTTGTACTACTATTGCCGGGGCTGGACCTGGCTGTGCACATTGCCTGGGGATGGGTTCTCCAGCTCCCCGCCTGCTCTTTTAGCAATGCCAGGGGTCCCACACCCACCCAAACCCTCCTCACGCCTAGAATCATCTTTCTGCTGTAATAAGGATTAATCTACTGGGATTTCCCGGGAAAGAAGTGGCCATGCTGGAAGCAGCTCTGTGGTCCTCCTCTCCAAGTCCTGAGGCTTGAACCCCTTGAGCAGAGTGGAGATGTGGATGCATATGCCACGTGCCGTGCACCAAGCAGCTGCAGCACCCAGGGCTCTCCAGCATGTCACTGATGCTGAGCATCCTCTCCATGGTCCCTGTGTGTCCCAAGGGTGCTCTGTGCATGGCTGAGCCTGGCTCCCAGCTCAGACCCTGCAATGCTGGGGAGAGGTGACAATCCCACCGATGGCCACATCCAGTGACTGTGGGATGTGGGTTTCTGTAGTGTAGTGGTTATCACGTTCGCCTGACACGCGGAAGGTCCCTGGTTCGAAACCAGGCAGAAACATGCTGATTTTTTTCCTCTTTTGCATCCAGCTATGAAGCCGGGGGGGATTGCAGCTGCAAGTGATGCACCACATTCTTCAACGGTGGCAGTGGTCACCTTGGTCTTCAGTTGGAATAGGAAGCCCTGGGGCAACCCAGGGCAACCCCAGGGCTTCCTATTCCAACTCAAGACTGAGGTGGGTGTCCTGCATCCCTGGGAGGGAGCAAGTTCCCCAGTAAGGAGCAGCAGGAGCATGCAAGAGGCTTTGCAGGTCCTCCTAACCCGCCAGATCAGAGAGCAAGAGAGGATGAAAGGCAGCCAGGAACTACCCATTACCCTCACAACAAAGACCTACGATAAAGCTCTTATGAGCGTGTCTGGGAGGAGCTGGGAATGTGCGAAAGAAAGCACCAGCAAGTCCTGGCATGTGCTGAACCCGAGTGTCTGTGAGATGGGGGAAGGACATGGACAGGTAGGGGTGCGTGGAAGAGATCCGATGGCAAAATGCATGGGGCCGAGGCTCAGAATTGTCCTTCTCAGGTCTTCTGGCTCTCACAGGATCCTGACCCCCCTGTGCCGTCCATGCAGGAGGGAGAACAAGCCATCCCTGGGCAGGGATGGATGGGTGCTGCAGTGCTGGGGCTCAGGATACTCAGCAGTGATGGCTTGAGTAATGGAGGTGGCACACACACACTGCCTTCTCCAGCCCCTGCCACGATCAGCCGTAGCCCCAAATGAGCCTCTATCCAGCTGTCACGCCACTGTCCGCTCCATGCCGGTGGTGACCATCCCAGCCACAGCCCTGTATGCAGATTTTCCCTGGTCCAGCCAAGGGAGCAGGGAGGGGATGTGGGAAAGGATGGGGTCCCAGTGCCAGTGTGTTCCCGTGGATGGTGGCAAGGACGGTGGCGAGCAGCTGGTGTTCCCAGCCGGCACACCCAGGGCACGGCGGAGGGGCCGGGCAGCTCATTACCTGCGAGGTGGAGGCTGTTCCCGGCAGGAGACAGGACTCTCAGCAGGATGAAAGCCAAACTCCAGCCCAGCCCAGACCTCTCCGCAGTGTGCCCCAAGCTCCAGGCATGTTTCCCTGACCTGCCTTAATTACCATAACTGCTTAGCAATGGGGAGATTTACTCAAAAACAAGAAAACAAGAAATAAAAACTACCCACCCCTACCAAAACAAGGCACTCCTCGCACATGCATCCCCCCCCCAGGGAGGGGGCAGGAGCAGGCAGTGCGTGTCAGGGGTGAAGCTGGCTGGCCAGGCAGGGCTGACATCGTGGGACGGGATGTTGTGCAGGGCCACGTGTCCCCTGGGCTCCTCCAAGCCCCAGAGCGTGGCCCTGGGTGGGGGGATCAGCCTGTGATAGTCTTTGCAAGCCCCAGCCTGGCTCCCAGTGGGGCTTGGGTGTCCCCTTGGGAAGAGGACGACTTGCTGGAGCCTGTGTGAGCATGTGAGCATGGTGGTACACGACCCAGCAGAGAATCCCTGCTGGGACAGAGCAGAGGACAGTATAAACTGCCTCTTTCCAAGCTGCACGGGGATGTACAGCCACTCTGTGTCCCTGGAGGTTGCTGGGCACGAGCTGTTTCCCTTGGTATGGCCACAGCAGCATCCCTTGCAGGGATGGGGAACCTAGGAGGACCCCAGCATGCAGCCTGGGGGCTCAGCAGCATTGCCCAGGGAGCCCAGAGTCCTCTTTGCACTCGCACTGGCCTCTGGCCCCTGCACAAGCTGTGGTCTCCATCCAGCCCAAACCAGAGCCGCAGCCCAGCCCACGCACCCTGGCCCTCGTGTTGGGTGGACGTGTGGCACCAGCCTCACTGCAGCCTCCCCAAACCACAAGTCAGGGCTGTGAGCATCTCTGATCCCTGCTTGAAATTCTGGTGATGGTGGGAGGCAGCGACTCAGCCCCCCGGCGCTGTGCCCAGGGCTCCCACGAGAAAGCAGGCAAGAGCTGAATGCAGAGCTGCTCCCAGGACTCCTGGAGATGGGGCTTTACAGGAGGAAAGCCCTGAGGAGGGGAAAGCATCCCTCCCACCTGCCTCGCTTGCAGTGCTCCTGGCCAGTGAGGTGTGTGGGAGACCCCTGCACTGAGAAGTCCTGTAGGGCTGCAAAGATGCAGCCACACCAGCTTTTAACTGGGGTCTGTGGTCGGGTTGATGCTGCTGGAGTCAGGCAGCAGTGGAAGGTGAGATCCAGGCTCCTTCTCCTCCCTGTGGTCAGGTAGCTCACCCGCTCCTTTGGGTGCCAGTCCCTTGGTGGAGTGTAAAAGCCAGTCGGTACTGCCAGGGTGGGAAGGGACAGGGTGTGGGACATGGGTGACACTAGGCACAGCAACAGGGTGCAGCCTCGCTGGCTTGCAGCTTCAGGGCTTTGATGACCACTCATGCCAGCCCTTGGCATTCCCATAGTGCCAACCCACAGAGAGCTCCGTGATGGTTTCTCTGGTCCCTAAAAAATGTCTCCTCCATGCTAACCCTCTGTCCTTCCCTCCCCACCCAGGTGGTGATGGACAACATGAGGAGGAAGTGCAAATGCCACGGCACCTCAGGGAGCTGCCAGCTGAAGACATGCTGGCAGGTGACACCCGAGTTTCGCCTGGTGGGGTCCCTGCTCAAGGACCGCTTCTACGGGGCCACCCTCATCCGGCCCCACAACCGCAACGCGGGGCAGCTGGAGCCGGGCCACGCTCGGCATCGCCGCCGGGCTGGCATCAGCGAGCTGGTTTACTTTGAGAAGTCACCCGACTTCTGCGAGCGGGAACCAGCTCTGGACTCCTTGGGCACC